TACCTGCATAAAAGTAAAAAAAAAAAAATCTGAGTGTTCAATTGTAATTTTAAAACATAAGAGTTTGTCCCTCCAGTTTTTCTAGTAAGAATAATGAAAATACTTCCAAGATGTGTGGAATGAAAATTGATATTAAATATATTCCTTCACGAACTGTGGCCTAATTCTATTCCAGAAATGAACTAGATTATAAAAGAAGGGGAGAACCCACAATTCTCACTTAATAACTTGATAATTAAGTGACATTTTTCAAAGAACTTGTTTAATGAAGCAATGTAAAATCTTTTCATGATTTAAAGGAAGTAGACTTATTAGGAAAGATGAGAAATAAGGTTATCTGGTTTAAAGCCAGGCCATATGATATTATTAATTAAGCTGCAAAAAAGATTTCTTATTCAGGAAGATTAGCATTGACCTTAAAACTAAATAGAGCAGTTAAGATTTAATACAAAGGAAATTTCTGGGAATATTTTTTTAAAATACTAGTGTCTGGGTCTCATCCTTAGAAATTCTATTTAATTGGCCTGGGAAAAGGATTGGTGATTTCTAAAGCACCCTAAATGCTTCTAATGTTGAGTTTAAGAACCACTGGGATATACTATGTAGTGTAGGGAAGATTGAAAAATCAATGGGAGATCACATTCTACCACAAAGTTTCTAGGAGCATCTTGGAACACTGTTTTAAGCCTTAATGGCAGTATATTGATGGTGTTGCTTAATTTTCAGCATTGAAAAATTAGAGAATTAAAGATAGAAGGTAGACTTAGTTGGGTTATTATCTGAGAGAGTTTAGGGTCCCCTAAGGAAGTAAAACAATAAAAATTAATTTAAGAAAATTTAATGAATATATATAATCTGATTAAAATATGTCTAGATTTAATTGCTAATATCAAGAAGTAACCTGTTGTGGACTAAAGAGATTATAGCTCATCTATTTTTACTTTTTCATTTAATTTATGAGACTAAATGTCAATGAAATATCCAAGTCACTATAAATTAGTTGAAGACAATAGAAAATTATTTGGGGGAAATTATAGTCCATGAATACTACGAGTTTTTGTTCTTCATCTCAATGAAGACATGACAATGAGTGTCATATGAGTGTATGAGAAGGATCTGGGTAAAGTTAATCTTATGGCTGTAACATTCCATAATAATAGCTTATCCATTCTATTTATATTTAGGACACATTGAAATATGTTTGCAAGACTTAGTTCTGATAGGATTTATATTTTGGAGGATAAACATTTTCTGGAGAGCTGCTAGAACTTTCAAAATGAATTTTTTTTAGTAATGATTAAGAACCAGGATGAGTTCTCTAATATTTCTTGCCAAGAAAGCCAAATTTTCCTTACAAATACATATTTTTGAGGTTAGATCACTGGTGATGCTGTTTATCTGGTAGAGACTGGCAGGTCCATTCACATTTGTTGCAAGGGTTGGTAGATGAGGAAGTCACCTATAGATCAAGCATAATTATTTCCACAAAATGTTTGAAAAAATCCCACAAAAAAATCTCACTGTAGATTGGATGAGTAACCATGTAGGAATGAAGCAGGTTTTTTTGTGGTGGTGTTATATTCTTGTACCTATCCTATCTAATCTTTTAATCAATGAACTGGATAAGACACCATTATTGAGTGAGTCACAATCTTTAATAAATTCAAAAAATATTTATTGAACATACACTATATCCTGTGGTATTCATGGGCAAAATAGGGAGGAATTGCTAATGTAATTGAATTAGGATTAAGGCTGGTATTGTCACATTGAAACCACGGATGACAGCCAGAAACACTTCTAATTTTAACTTGAGGAATCAATTGTTTGAAGGCAAGATGATAGGTTTGACTTGATTGTGAAAATAATAGAGTTTTGCTCAGTCAGGACCTAAAGGTAAACAAAAAGTAGGATGGAGTGGCTTAGTCAGCTAATGCAAGAATAGGTTGCTTTAAAGAAATCTTAGCACTTGTAATGGTTAGAACCCAGATGAAATATTGACTCAGTTTGGTGCCTTGCTTAAGACAAATCTTTGGAGGGCCCTAGGGTGCTCAGAGGTAGTGTTTTAAGTTAGTAGTGAAAAATTATTTGTAATTATATTATTTGTTTAGGTTGGAAGAATGGAAGAAAAAGGTAGAAAAGGAGAATAAGAAATTCCTCTTTTTTTCAGAGGAGACTCATTTTATGTATAGGTAATTAATATATGCAGTGCACACACAATGATATTGTAATGTTATTACTTATATATGTAGAGAAGCAGAATCTGTGACAAGTTGAAGATTTAAGAAAGGCTGTATCCAAGGAGTGTGGCTTAAGGTAGAATTATGTGGGTTGGGATAAAAGCCTTTTTGTGTTATTTGATATTATACAGTGGGCTTGCTCTACAGTGGTTTTCAAAAGTTAGCAAGTTCTGGATGGCTATCAACCCCTGGAGAGGAAATGGAAATAGTTTAAGTGAGAGAATTGAAGAGGCTGCCATGGTAGTTGGAATGGAATCTGAAACTGATATGAAAGTGAAAGAACTGGGATCGCCAAGCTGGAAAGGAGGCATAAGAGGAGGCTTATAAACATAGAAAACAGGGAAGCATAGGCCGGCGCCGCGGCTCACTAGGCTAATCCTCCGCCTAGCGGCGCCGGCACACCGGGTTCTAGTCCCGGTCGGGGCGCCGGATTCTGTCCCGGTTGCCCCTCTTCCAGGCCAGCCCTCTGCTGTGGCCCGGGAGTGCAGTGGAGGATGGCCCAGGTGCTTGGGCCCTGCACCCCATGGGAAACCAGGCAAAGCACCTGGCTCCTGGCTCCTGCCATCGGATCAGCGCGGTGCGCCGGCCGCAGCGCGCCAGCCGCGGCAGCCATTGGAGGGTGAACCAACGGCAAAGGAAGACCTTCCTCTCTGTCTCTCTCTCTCACTGTCCACTCTGCCTGTCCAAAAAAAAAAAAAAAAAAAAGAAAACAGGGAAGCATAGACTCAAAAGCTAGAAGGGGATGTCTTCGACTGAACATATTTAGTAATTATGTAGGAATTGCTATTCTGTTTTTCCAGGCCATTTTGATATGTAAGTGAAGGATGTGTGTATATATGTATGTATGTAACTTTTTAATACTTATATGATGAAAAATACAGTAAAATAAATTTCATAAGAAAGAGAATTCATTGAACACTTACAATACACCAGTCATCATGCTACATGCTTGGTGTGGGCTCTCATTTGATGCTCAAAGCATTGGTTAAAAGAGGCACTGCATTAAAACTGAAGAAGAGAAGTCATCTGACTAGGGAAGCACAAAGATGAGATTAGGAACCAGACATTTGATCCTAGAGCTTTTCTGCTAAGTCCTCTTGGAGGGTTTATTCACTGCCTTCATTTTGACTTTCCCTTACCAGCCTGTGTTAATTCTGTACCACTACTGATAGTGATACAGCAATGCAGTATACTGATACTTTCACCTGAAAAGCTACTTTTTCTGTTTTCTTCCCAGGTCATTAAGTGTTACTCACCCACACTGGAATGAAGGAAGCTATGAGGATGTGGAATAGGAAAAGATTATTTACTGTCTGTTGAATATAGAGCAGCATTTCTCTTGAGCAAGGATTCAGTGTTTGCCCTCCACTACCCATTGATAAATGCATATCATTTACGTGCCTTGATTTTGTTTGAACAAAAATATAACACTTGTGGTGTGTTTGAACATGATTTGCGTTTGTTTAATGCCACTTCTATTTCACCAAAAGCACACACACACACACACACATATCCAAGGGTTCATCAAACAGTTCATGAAAAACACATCTATGTTTCAATTCCATTTTCCATAAGCAGTTCTGAAAAATTTTATATTTTTGTTTATTTGAAATATGGAGACAGAGAGAGAGAGAGAGAGAGAGAGAGAGAGAAAGAGAGAGAGAAACTCTTCTCTGTTGATTTACTTCCTAATTTCCCTCAACAACCCAGGCTGGGCCAAGACAAATCTCCAGGCTTCCCATGTGGGTAGGAGAGACCCAAGTATTTGAATCATCACCTCCCACCTCCCGGAGTGCACATTAGCAGGATGTGGAAATTGGAAGCAGAGATGGGGATTTGAACCCAGGCGCTCTGATATGCTCTCTGATGTGGAATGTGGGCATCCCAAGAGCCATCTTAACCATTGCAGCAAACTCCTGCCCTTTCTATGATCTTTTTGAAGACTCTCTCTGTGTGTGTATGTTTGTGTGAGTATATGTGTATAAAGAGTTAAAAAAAAAACAGAGAATTGTGTTAGTTTTCTATTTACAGTGTCACAAATCACCACAAACTTAGAGATTTGAAGCAGCACTAATTTGCAATGATTTGTGTTCTGTACATCAAAATTCTGGCATGACTTTCATTTGGTCAGATCAAGTGCTGGCACGGCTGTGTTTGTTTCAGGAGGCTCTGGAGGAAAGTCCATGTCCTTGCCTTGGCCAGCCTCCTGCGATCAGGCCCCTTTCTCCATCTTCCACGCCAGTAACACCAGGAAGAACCTTCACATTGCATCACTCTAAATCTGATTTTGCTTTTGACTTTTTTCTTCTATATTTAGAGACCCTTGTGATTGCAATGAACTCAACCAAATAATCCAAGATAATTCTCCATCTCAAAGTTACTAATTTTACCCCATTTGCAAACTCTTTTGTGCCTCGTAAGCTAACATATTCGTAAGTCCTGGGGATTTGGGCATGGGCATGTTTGGGAGACCATTATTCTATCCACTAAAAGCACATTCTAATAGCCAGGCCCTTTTCCAAGGGCTGAGATAAACCACAATCCCAATCCCTCCCTTAGAGAAGCTTACAATTTAGAAGGAGTTGAAACAGGTAACGGAACACAAAATAATGTGTGCTGTGACGGCAATGCAACCAATTATAGTACTGTGGAGGAAACAATTGTCTACCTGTGGGTGAGGATGAAGTAGAAACAATTGGCCAAAAAAAAAATCAGAATTATCTTTGACACATTTATATGATTTTATCACTTTTCATCCAGGTTTTGAGACTCTGGGATATTCAACTTCAGCTGTCCATCCAGAGAATAGCCTGTTCATTCCCCAAAAGTCAGGACTTTAGATGCCTCTTTCACTTTGATGAAGCCCGCGGACGACTTTTCATCTCATTTAATAACCAGCTAGCATTGTTGGCAATGAAGAGTGAGGCCAGCAAGAGGGTGAAAAGCCACGAGAAAGCAGTCACTTGTGTTCTTTACAATTCCCTCCTGAGACAGGTAATGATGCTTTCTTTCCTCTCGCCTAACACACCCCTGAGTCCAGAGGCTCATTTCCTTAATTCAGTCTAAGGTAACACTGAAGACAAATCTGTCAAAAAACAAATATGGGAAGAAGTGATTTAATAATCAGGTGCTTTTCTGCAGTAATGTGTGTTCCGGTAGATTTGAGGATGATTTCATTTGCAACCAGTGGTCACAGCAGCACTGATAGAGTTATAAGGAATGACAACCTTGCAGCTAAAACAAACACAACATGTAATGTAATTGAACTTATTATCTTTGTTACCTGCTAGTTTGGATCCTGAGCCAAATGCAGGTGAAGCTAGTTGTAAAATTCCCTTTATGAACGCCATCCTCCCGTATCCCTGTGGAAAGTTCTGAAATATGCATGAAACGTAATTAGCAGAGATCCATTTTGCCAGCGTATTTTACACCAGTGGCTCACAGTGGCAGCCTGGAATGTATTCATAATAAAATGATTCAGTTAAATGGGATGCCACTTGGTATGCAGCGTGAGTGTTGTTTGTCTCCCCACCACTTTAATGACGCTCTGCAGCCTTTGCTTAGGGGAGCGCTACCTGCATCTCAATGAAAGAAGTGCGGTTCCCTGGCGCAGAGGGGCCACATGAACAACAGCCCGTCGTGGAGGGCAGGGAGGTCCGGCCGGGCAGCTTGCGGCTCTCTTGGAGGGAGCGGACCCCATTGGAGGTTGGTGCCTTGGTGATGATCACCTCCAGCCTGATGGGAATGGCACAGTAGGAGATGAACAGAAAGCAAGTCTCCAGCTTGCGGCCAATTAAACAATCACTCCAGCCCATTCTTTCTCTTCCCTTGTGCAGAAGCGCTTGCATTCGTGCAGAAATGAGTGGTTCAGATTTTGTGCAAGGGGTGGAACGCCCTTTGTTGATAATGAGCAGTGTGTCATGTCACCACTTCAAACACTCTGCTTTCTGGTTATTCTCAGAGATAAAAAATCCTTTACAAAACAATCTGTTTTTGAATTCCATCTGCGGAGAAACATTCCTCCGCAAATGTTTTACTGAACTTTATGAAGGCAACCAGTTAATTCGGCTCCCTAGTGGCCAGGGAGAAATGTATTTGTTTCTAAGAGAACATTCTGCTAATTGAGATCTGCAAAGCTAAAGCACCAGGTTTGTGTGTGGATGTTAAGAGTCTCTGTTGCCTGACCATAAAATGAACAATATTCCAGGAGGAATTCAGGAAATGGGATGCAAAGATCTGGAATCTTCCATTTGGGACATGAAGATAAAGGCAAGTTAACACAAATATATGCAAGTCCTGAGCAACAATAGAGTATGTACTCATGGTGTATGATGTAGAAAAAAGCCCTGAACAATTGAGTTTGGTAGTCACAGCCTTACTTCTTGCTGTTAATAGCATAAATAATCAAAGCCTCAATGTGCATGTGAAGCACACAGAGCTTGCATCACACACTTCAATGTTTCCTGGTAGCTATAAAGCTATAGCTTTTAACATTATGCTACGTTCACAGTTCTAATGAGAATGTATTACAGAAAAGTACAAAGAAAGTAGTATTCCCTATAGTCCCATCAACCAGTGATAACTTACTATTTTAGAGTAATTAGATGAAGCAAATGGAACAGTTTGGAACAAATATCAGATGCTGGGAATGAAGAATAAAAGATTAAGAAACTATTATTCCCCCCCCCCCCCCCCCGGCAGCTCAAGGAGGCTCAGCTTTGCACAGGTAGGTCCAGGGCCTTCCTCCATGGCTCTTTACTGGCCAAGGGCTCATGACCAGATTGTGGAATGAAAGAAAGGGAGGCAGACCCATTTCTGTTTCACAAGGAAACAATGGGATGTGGTAAACTGAAGTAGAAGCCAAAGCAAAGGGTTCTCTATGAAAAGTCATCCATTTCCCCTGGGGCTGGATGACTTGCATTCTGCAGAACCTGGAATGCCACCGTGGGAATCTTTACAAGGAGAAGGAAGCATTCCAGGCAGAAGGTCCAACACAGCATCTGCCAAGAGATCTGAGTGTATTCACAGGGAGAGGGTTGATTTTGGTGTGGTTAGTCCTTAGCAGGCACTATGAGAGTTAAGGCCAGAAATGCAGTTTGGGAAGGTCATCACTGAATGTGCTATGGTCTTTCTTGGAAAAACAAAGCATAGATGTGCAATTAAAGCTACAGTTTTCACACGATGATTTTGGACCCTAGAGGACCCAGATCCTCTCGGGGAATCTGAGAAGTCAAGACCACTTCTCATCATGGTATCAATTTATTGCTTGATTTTTAAACTCTTGTTCCCTCAGGAGTGTTTGTGGAGTTTCCTAGAGGTTACGTGATGTGTGATGATGACTTCATTCCTCTCACCACTAAGGGACATGTGTTCTTATATTTTTATCTTCTATTTATTTATTTATTAATTTTTAACTTTTTATTTAGTAAATATAATTTTCCAAAGTACATTTTATGGATTATAATGGCTTCCCCCCCATAACTTCCCTCCCACCTCACCCCTCCCATCTCCTACTCCCTCTCCCATTCCATTCACATCAAGATTCATTTTCAATTCTATTTATATACAGAAGATCAATTTAGTATATATTAAGTAAAGATTTCATCAGTTTGCACCCACACAGAAACACAAAGTGTAAAATACTGTTTGAGTACTAGTTATAGCATTACTTCACATTGGACAACACATTAAGGACAGAGATCCTACATGAGGAGTAGGTACACAGTGACTCCTGTTGTTGAATTAACAATTTGACACTCTTGTTTATGGCGTCAGAAATCTTCCTAGGCTCTAGTCATGAGTTGCCAAGGCTATGGAAGCCTCTTGAGTTCGCTGACTTCGATCTTATTTAGACAAGGTCATAGTCAAAGTGGAAGTTCTCTCCTCCCTTCAGAGAAAGGTACCTCCTCCTTTGATGGCCCGTTCTTTCTACTGGGATCTCACTCGCAGAGATCTTTCATTTAGGTACTCTTTTTTTTTGCCAGAGTGTCTTGGGTTTCCATGCCTAAAATACTCTCATGGGCTCTTCAGCCAGATCCGAACAATTTCTCAATTTGTATTTCTGATATGGTAAACAGATGTGTGCATATAAACTTTTGTGTATGATTCTCTCCACGTTTATATTCCACATAAATGAAAGCTATTTGGATTCCTCCATAATTTTTAAGACTGTGAAGAGATCCAAAAACCAAAGGTTTTGAGAACTGGTTTTGAGAACTGGGTTCTAAAAACATGTGCACCTGTGGGGTGTAGTGATAATAATGGGAACAGCATGTGCCTATCCTGTGTTACTTTGCAAGGGCTGCCTCCTGGAGGCCATCCTCTTGTCTTGCATGTGACAGCTCTGGATGCTCCTTGTACTTTCCTGTTTATCTTAATGTTGCTGTTTTATACACTATGTGTATATGTATGTATATATTGATTGATTGATTTTACAGGTAGAGAGACAGTTGGTGGAGGCAGAGAGAGAGAGAGAGAGAGAGAGAGAGAGAGAGAGCGAGCTAGAGTAGGAGAGGGAGAGGGAGAGAGAAATTTCTCATCCATTATTCCACTTGTTTTCCTCAAATATTCACAATGGCTGGGACAGGGCCAGGCTCAAGCTGGGAGCTGGGAATTCAGTCCAGATCTCCGAAATGGATGCCAGGAACTCAATTACTTGAGCTGTCACCTGCTACTTTTCAAGTTATACATTAGCAGGAACTGGAGTTAGGAACCAGAGCCAGGACTTGAACTCAGACAATTCACAGTCCGCTATGGAATGCAGGCATCCCAACCAGCATCTTAACCACAAGGCCAGATGCCCACCCCAACACCTGTTTTTTTTTTTTTTTAATTGACTTTTTAGGATTCCTTAAATTTGGCTTTAACCATATGTCATGTAATAGCAAATCTTAGAAAGACTTAGAAAGGGGAGTACCCTGAATTGTGGCTTTTCTCTCATGTTGCTCCTCTCAGGAATGTCACTTTTGGTGAGAAGATTGCTTATTCCTCTCCTTCTCCTCTCAGTCATGGAAACAGCTGGGTTGAAGAGACATAAACACACACCCACCAATACACACACATGCAGAAAGACACTGATGTCTCATGTACTTGTTCACTCCCCAAATGTTCACAATGAGGACGACTTTATCTCTTTCCCCCAGCTTTGCAAAGCTCAGCTCCCCATAGTGTCCAGGGCTCTCTCCAGCTACACTTAACCTCTCACCTTTCTGAGCATTGCTCACATTTCTGGTCCCCCCCCCCCCCCAGTTAAACATTTAACTAAACTTGTGTTTCTCTTTCCTATGTGTTTGCTGTCCTTTTTTTTTTTTTTTCTATCACTGTTATGAGCACAAATTGGATGCTCAACGGCTAGATTTGATCAAGTATTACCATTTCTCATTCCAAGTTCAATAGGAGCTCACGCTCTGGGTGCTTGTACTTTCACTATCTGCTTTGTTATCTTTCTGGAAGACTTTCCCTTTGTCAGCATTTAATGAAAATCTTCCCTTCTGCTGTCCTTTCAACAGATTGTCTTCTCTTCATTGCTGGGTCCTTGTATTTGGACTTCAATGGGGCCCTAACATAATCCCTACATGAAAGTAGCTTGGAACATTTGTGTGAATTTTTGTTATCTTTCCTTTCAGTATCCTAACATCCTAATATAAAAAGGTGGTGCTAAGCCACCCAAATCCTTTTTAGAGGAAGTGCTTGTTTTATTTCACCTGGAACGCATGCCCTCACAGCTAGCAGCTGAACAGGTTGGGACTGGATGAGGGAGTCCACGGAATGCACAATTTCGAAGGAATTAAAGTCGCTCAATAACCTGGAGGCAGTTCTTGGAAACTGTCTTTGCACTTTCTTAAATCAAACTTTTATTAAAAGTTCACGAATGTTAGGAAACTTTAAAAATATCTTCTGGAGGGCCAGCCCTGTGGCATAGTGAGTGAAGCTGCCGCCTGCAGTGCCGGCATCCCTTATGGGTGCCCGCTGGAGTCCCGGCTGCTCCACTTCCT